CTCATTACGCGAAACTACTTATAATTTAACATACTGAATAGACAGCTAGTTACGGGTTCACAACGGTTTACATACTTTTCCTTTCACTTCACCATTGTTGCAGGAAAAAAACTGCTGTTAGAATAAGAGATTCTACCCAATTTCTGTTACTTTGTTACCTCTTGTTTCTTAGTCAATGCCACTCGCTCCAGTAATATCAGGAATTTGCTAACAACCAATGACTTACCAAATGGGAGAAATTACACAGCAAAGTGTGACAGTTAGTAATAACAAGGATGACAAAGGTCAACAGCGCAAAACTACTGCATAAGCCATTTAGAAGAAAGAATCCTAATACCTGAACTCACAATATTTCAACTAAGTGAATAAAGCCAAGAATTTCTATTACAATAGTATTAAAGACTCACTAAACTATAATCAATAAACCCTGAACGCAACTGTTATCTGTACAGAGTTCATTTGAAAAAATCGGAACAAAACGATTTCAGTAAATCTTACTCATGCAAGATAAGGAAAAAGAAAAAAGGAGATTTAAAAGAGTGCCCCTTCTGCAGTTCTCTTTAAAAAATTTAGAAAGAATTATCTTTACCTTTATTTTTTTGCCGGGAAACAGCAACAAAATACAGCCATATATTAATAATCAGCAATGCTTGAAGTACCAATCAAGACAGAGTAATAAATACTGTAAGGTGCTAACAAAAAATGTTCACAATAAGAAAAAAAATTGTTTATGAAAACCATACAACAAAAATTTTAGCCTCTATCCTCTCGGACTGTATAAATCTATTATTTAAATACACTTATTCTTACACCACCATGACGAAGAGACTACCGAGCACTGCAGCGAATGGACTTTCGAAACCTTCTCACAGACACAGAATAAGAGAAGGCTGACAAGAAAAGAGCAACGATTGAAAGTTAAACATCATGGCAACAGTCCAGCAGTAAAATAAAGGCCAAAATTAAGCAAAAAATTATTTGTTTAACAAATGGTGCTGTTTGATAATGTGCGCCATGAAGATAGCTTAGAAATAACGGTTTCCAAAGCGGTGGAAATTTTTGAAAAAAATAAATAATTTCAAGTGAAAGCCAGGAATGAATATCAATGGCAAAAGTAATTGGTAGCCGGGTACTCTCAAGTAATGATAATTAAAAAAATGCTGATAAAACTTCCTAATAATCTTATAAGCAGCGTATTACGACTTTTCTGTATTTCTGATCATCTGTGGTCTGGCCAGCCCCATTTCGCTAACTCGCGTAATTTTTCCTTCCGACTGCGCAACATGCTTGTGGAACCACCACTCCGAATGTAGCGGCGTTTGTTTCTTTCGAAAATTACGTACAAATCCTGAAATTATGAAAATTGCCATACTGAACAAAAGAAAATATGCATTTCTTTATTTACTTTAATTGAACACCATATACCATTGAACTTTTTAGAGTTATAATTCTTATGACATTTCTTTACATATAAGAAATACACTGCAATGATGAATGTTAACCATTGTTTCCAGTTTAAATTTTTAAAGATTTATTGGTCTAATCAGTTTGCAGTCACAGAATTTGAAAATTATTGTATCCAAAAGAGAACAGTTTAATTACCATTTCCAAATATTAGTGCAAATAACTGTGAACGGAAATCGGTACGAGCAGTGTAAAGAGGGAGATTGACCACTGAAGTTGCCGCATAGGTACTATAGAGTAATCCTAAACAGTTAATTAGCTTACTAGCAATTGGCTTAAAATTTAGTTTAAAAACCGGTCTCTAATTTTTATCTATAAAAACAGTTTTTTAAAAGCAGAGAAGTATTCGAAAGCTCTATCATAATTTGGCAACTAAAAACTGAAATGGACCTTTGTTTCTAGAATAACAGTTTATGTTCTTTGTTCTCCTCAACAGATGGTTGCGTTGTAACAATGCTATTTAAAAAAGCTACTTTAAATCCATATCTTACGCGATAAAGATAATTTAAATTTCTTAGCAAAGGATAAAAGTTTAGCTGTAAGGAGAAATTTAAGCCTTAATGAACAGCTGCTTCAAGAGCTGAGGAACAAGTAAGAAAAGCTGTATTTGAAACGGTAATTTTCAAACATACCGCCAAGTAAATCGTGAAGTGTAATATAATTCATCTGACTTAAAAATACACAGGTTATAGGAGCAGTTGAAAGAACTACTGCTATCGACATTGTTAGGCACGTCACCAATTGGCGGCGTAGGTCCACACGATTTACCTAAAAACAAAAGCACCTTATAACAGTTATTCAAATTCACGGTTTATTTACAAACTCTAAATATGTTTTGAAAAAGCTTAGACTTTTAATCTTACAAAAAAAGCCGGTTTTTTCTTTCTTTCTCCGTAGCTATTAAATTCTCTTTCTGTAGCTATTAGAACCAGTGGTATCACTTTTAACCCTATCTGCTAGAAAAAAGATCCAAAAAAACAACAGTTGCAGGTAACTTACAAGTCTTCTCACACTGTAACAAAAAAATAATTTTCTAAATAAAGAAATAGAAAATTTTTTGCGAGACATGCTGACACTAGCAGCTAATCGGTTTTTTTTTCACTTCTTTTCTGCGTCTTCAAAACTTTTTCGCAGATGTTGCTCTGTTTTGCATTCTTTGCTTCAGAAACAGGTATACTACAAGTCTCGCCAATATAGCTATTGCAGTTGAAATAATGTAAAAAAATGACTTTATTTTCTTACAGAAGAAGCATTTACCTGTGAGCGCTTCATCACTGAATAAACAGCAAAAGCAATTGCAAAGCTTAATAGAGAAGAAAGAGCAATACTCAACAAGTGGAAAATTGCATAGTTTTTTCCAGTTATGTGTGTAGTGTAGCAGTAAGGTGATATCAATGCACCTTTTTTAGTTTCTGCAGAAGCTGCTACCAATGACAATCCAGCGATTACCTGTAACAATATTATATATGTTTATTTAATACTTGTTCTTGTTTTTTCTTTCTATAACTTTATCAAGAAATGTAGTAAAAATTTTTCTATTCATTAATTTCTAGCTACAGTTTATTCTTTAATACAAAGAACAATAAATCCTTTCTAAGCTGTTTGCTTTGAAAATCATAAATTTGTTTGAGTGAAATAAACAAAGAACTGATGGAGAAAATAATGCGTACTCCACTAATCGCGTAACCTGTCCAACCAAGTATAATTTTATGGTGTATTCTCCAAGAAGAACTGTAAAAGACATAGCACTTTAATGCAATCAGGCATTCCATTGCAACTATCAACTTTGTTACTGACACCATTTCACCTAAATTTTTGGTAGAAGTAGATTCCGCCAAGTTTCTGTTTGCTTTTACCTTTTTTTAAAACACTTTGAACCGCTACGACTAAAAAATTGCATTTAAGGCCCTAAAAATTCACTACAACCTAGACAAATTTCTGTTCTGCAATGGAAAATTAAGCTTTAGAGGGCAAAAAGGGCTGAATAACTCTTCTACTCAGTCGCCAATCTTTCTTTTTTTTCTTTTCAAATGCTAGTACGTTTTTTTGGACACAGAAACATTGTATCGTAATGCTTCAAAAATGTTGCCCAATAAGCCAAGTAAGGTTATTTATAAAAAAAAAGGGATTAAAAGACAGCAAATGGTACAAAAAGTTGGTTTTCAAAAAAAAATTAAATTTTTGCTATTTTTATCACTAATATTGAAGCAGAGGTTTTCGAGCTTTTAGATATTGTTAATTGAAGTTAACAAAGTTTTTTTAAAACATGCTAATTGGTCAAGGAAGCGAACCCCCTATAATAAACGCTATAGGCCATGATCGCTGGGTAATACATGTCCATGGAGTTATCGTACTGGTTTCTGCAGTGGTGTAGGAAAGAACTTCACGCGAGTGACCGGTTATTGCTAACGAAATACCATTCGTCTGAAACTCGAGACAGTTGAGGTACAGAAATAAGCTGGCAAATAACTATTACCGTTTTGAAATTGGTCAGAAATCGCATGCTTAGCTTTTATAAAAACAATTCATTTTTAGCTCAAAAACATCATTAGCAGTTTGCCAGCAGCTGCTTCCTTTTCTCCTTTTTTTGCTTTTATGAGTCCTACCAAAGTACACTATCTATTTCTCATCTTATTAGAGACAGTAGGCAGGAAAAGACTGTGGCGCGAAAAAGCTCCAGTAGACAACAATTTTGGCGGTCCAAACTACTGCTTTCCAACCTCTTTACCTTTTTCAAGATGTGATACCGTATATTTTACAAACAAGAGTTCTTCGATGCCACAAATATCTGTAAGTCTGTGAAGAAATATGCTGCTGTTTAGTTAGCGAATATCAAACAAGCTATTGCTCATCATTTAATTATCTTTCCCTGCTGCGTAGAACTATTAACAATGTCGAATTAAAACCAAAGCACAAAAACATCACAAAAATTTACCAAATCTGCAAAGGCCATAAATGAATACAGGCACATTTTGCATCTAAGATCCCGATTTGTGTTGATCACAATCAGAATCACAAGATTACAAATAAAAACCAATACTCCGCTTATTGTAATTAGTCGATATTCAATAATTTTCTCTACTGTTTGGTAGCGGGTTTCCATAGTTTCTAATTTCTCTAGCAATGTAAATAAACCAGTTCTTCACTTGAACAAGGTTCTACAAAACCGTTACGTTTGCCAAATCCCTGAAAAATTTTAAAATTTTCAAAGCTTTTGTGAAAGATAAGAAAAGGTTTTTTGAAAGCCGCCGTACAACTTAGCACCCTAGTTTCTAATTGAAATCTGATTTCCTAAATATCCTTATAAAGTTGAAGAACAGAAGACTTCAGCTTGGGAGAGAAGCGTTTATGGAAAGAAGAGCAGTTACTTTACGAAGAAAAAAAACTTTTTTGTTGTCATCGTGTAAAGACAAAGATTTGTAATTTGTATAAGTCTGAACTCCTTCAAATTGTCCAGAACAAAAGCAACATGAAGGTGTTAGTGGCAAGAGGGAGGAGGGAAGAAAAGACTCTCGACCGAAAACGAGCATCATAGAAGGCGAAGAAAATAAATTGCAAGAAGTGAAAAAAGTTAGAAATGTTTTGAGTTTTTTTTTGTGCAGTATGCTAAGGCTGGTAATCCTCAATGCTCTGACTTCGCTCTGAACATCTCGTGACTTTAAATATGAGAATGCGTGGTAGTAACAAATTTGATAAACACAGTCTTTAGTTAGCCGAGCAAAAAAATATGGGAGAGATTTCATAGATTTCTTTAATTTCGTAATTTCCGCAGAAAAATCTTTGATTGCGAACGAACAAAGACAAAAAGCAACCTTTTTCAGTATCATTGAAACACGCAAACGAATCTTAGCCGGAAATACTCAAAATGGTTTAGTCATTGTCTTGTATTTGAGTTTTAAGCAGTGTAGCCATGACTCACAGAAAGATTTCGAAAACAAACAGATTTTCAAATAACGGAATAGATGTAGTAAAAATGAATGGTTAAAAAAGCAAATGAGGTAGCACTTATCTGACAAGCAAATATATTCAACAAAGAAAGTAACAGAAAAAAAAATGAAAACGAGAGTTTTTCAACATAGAAATTTTTTTATCGCCGTTTTCAGATATACTTTAAAATCTTAGCAATGTCACTTCAAATTTTAGAGTTATACCTTTTACCAAGTTCATTATTTCTTTTGATGATTAACTTGCTAGGTGAAATCTCGATGTGACCAGGCACAACTTGTTCACTTCTATATGCCGAAAAGACGTACATTACTAAAAAACAAACTTCGAATATTTCAGAGACGGTCGCCGTTTGCTTTTTTAAACTTTAACGCTTTTTATTCCTATTTCCAAACAATTATTTAGTAATCAAGTAGATATTAGAAGTACTTTAAACAGTCACATAAGTCGTCCTGTGTCAGTTTAAACATTTTTTTCACTTAGTGTCTCAAAACTTTTTAAGCTTCACTTATCAGCAAAACCCAAATTTAGTTTTCAAAAACTAAGAAAAGAACTAAAAGTGGTTATTTCATTATTTAGTGTTCCCTTGAAGTTCCAAAGTTTGTTACATTGCTGCACGACACGTTTTTTTCTCTGAACCTGTAGTTCAGTTTGACTTCATTTAAATTTAAAAGCTTTAGTTTATAAATTTTCTGCACCACCTAACTCGAAGAGTATTACATTTTTAATATCTTTTTGCACCTAAGTGCATAAAATGAAAACAAAAATTTATTAGCATAAAATATATTTATCTTTAAACTTCAAAAAAAACATACGTTTAGTGCAAAACTGCTGGCTTTGTAACACATTAGGATTTGGTAATTTCACCCTGATCGAGTCGTGCGAGCTATGAGCCAAGTGTGGAACCGAAAATAAATCACTGTTTTTACAGCGATTTCACATATTTTATGGTAATGTAACCATTTTGCTTTTAAGAGTTTCTGAAAGCCATTAAAAGCGGTCATGAAAAGTTGGTAGTATTTAGCCTTAGAAAATTCGTCTTTGTTCTGAAAGGTACATTTGCCGTAAGAAAATTTTCCGATACTTGCAAAATTTAGGTAGCTTTTATTCCTCACTTTCTCTGTCTCTAGTCTGTTACATGCTAAAAATTTGTAGTTCTTCTATATTTTTAAGCCCAGAAAGGTCAAGAAATCTACTGTTTCAGCCATTCAGGTTCAAAGTGCAAATTCTTTTTTGTATTTTGGCGGTCTGACCAGTTTAGAGAATTACCGCAAATATTACTAGAATAGGGATGGTCAGACAGCCTAGCATTTGCACATGCGATCAAAGCTCTGACGAGGTGGGCTACAGTTATGTTTTTGACAGCTTAAAAAACTTTTTCTTTTACCGGTCTTTCAAATACCGCAGTCAAGATTCCCGTCCACTATGCTTTCTTTGAACTCTGTAAAACTCGCTGTTCGTCGCAATTTTCATTCTTGGTACGTTTTCCTTTCGTGAGCAGAAGGCAACTCTATGATCTTCACAGTTTGCCACAACGTAAAAGAAGCAGACGATGCTGGGATAAATGCTAATCGCTGCAGCTCTGCAGACTATGCAAAATGTAACTTTTCAAAACAAGTCTTAAATTATTGAACATAGCACGAAGTCGCTTTTTATGGCTTTCAGAAGCAGCTGAAGGCGCTTAATCGTTTTAACATGCTTGAAGATTATTATAAAAGCAGCGAATTATTTTCACTTTCACGCTTAGTTCCAGCCTTGAAACACTCGAATTTGTCAGAACGATAACAGAAAATTATTACGTGTCAGAAAACAAGAATTCCCGAAAAAGTTTTTTAAATTTAAAGACTCGTTTTACTGTACATGTTTTAACTTTCTGTTCTCGTTGTATGTGCCTAACTACTGAGCAAAATCAGAAGATACACTAAACGTTCAGGAACAGAAAGCAAAAAATACTTTAATAAATCAAAAATTTTCAAATTCTATTTAGATTAAAAAAAAATAACTTCACTATAGAAATGTCGAATAGAAGACTGAAAACTGAGGAGTCTACTTTTCCAGATTACCTCTTCGAGTCTTTAAGTTTAATTCCAGGTTTTGAAAATCAGCAACATTCATGTATTCGTTAAAAGTTGGTAGATCGCAAGCAGCAAAAGCGTTGCTTCAACGTTAATTGAGCTGCATTTATTTAACTACATTTATTGATCTAAGCGAAAGGAAGAAACTGTGACAACGGTAGCAGAGCACAAACATAAATATGCCCAAAAGAGAGCTAACGAGCTTTTTGAAAAATGGCGTCCTTTAGACTAAAAATATGAGTGAAATTTGTGTTTGAATAACTGCTTTTTATTATGCTTTATACTAGATTCTACATAATACTAATACAATCGACTGTGATTTACCGAATAAACCATCATCAATTAGATAAAATTTCAAAGATCACCGCCGCTTTGTAGACCCACGTACTTTCAGTAGGTATCGGTTGGACAGCGACGTTTAGTTTTATAGAAGAAAGAGTGAAAGTAAGAGAGGAAAACTTGATGTTAATGCTTACAAAAGGTTGTTTTTTGTGCGAGAAATCGCTCTTGAATCTTGTCACATGCCTCTTTACAGCATAAATAAAATTTACTTTCGTGCTCAACTAGTATTTTCTTTACAATACAACAAGGTTAACTTATAACATAAATAAATATCGGTTTTTGTGCCAAACTATTAATAAGTTTATCAAAGTTCTCTAGAAAACTATCCTGTCAAGTTTTTTCAATCATTATTTGTCTTTTGCCACCTTTTTAACAATCATCAGCAGCTTGATGAATTCAAACTTAGCGAACTGTTTTACTAATACTTTATAATTTTTGTTAGTCTATTTTTCTAATAGTTGGCTATTTTGTAAAAACAATGTTTACAGTCAAGTACCATATTTGTCTAGGGGCTTTTAGCTTTTAAGCAATCAATTGAGTTCGTAATTAGGTATTTATTTTCCTTTGCTACTTCGGCACTCTATAATTTTGTTTCGGTTTGGATTTGTTAATGGTTTAAAACATCACAAAATTTACTATGCGATATCTTCAAAATGACAGCAAACCGATTACTAACAGAGAATTTTATAGATCAAAGAAAAAAATAACTCTAAACGTTTGACAGGTAAATTTGTAATGAATTACTTCTTCAATTCTTTTTTTCAGTAAATTATAATTTTACTTTTTTATTTCGTTTTTTTTTTTTTTGTGCTTAGATGAATATTAGAAAAATCGTGAAGCAAAGCTTTTAATTATTACATCGACAGTAAAATTTCAGAAACGTAAAAATTAGCTAATTTAGAAAAAAATTATTACAGACACTTATTACATGTGCTGAGTCACGCAATATTCTGCCATAAATAAGTAAGAAAATTAGTTTCAAAATAAAAAAGATATATTTAAATCATGTATTGTAAGCTGGAGAATAAGACTGATACAGTGAAAAAATTCACTTTTTCTCATGCCATTAGTATCTTTATTAGTCGACTCAAAAAAAAAAAATGCAAAAGTTTTAGTAAAGAGAATGATGAAAAGAAGATGTAATTGAAAAAATAATTGATAAATCAAAAAAGTGGAGCAGTATTGAGTAGTTTTTCACAGAAATAAGACCAAGAAAAGTTTAGCGGTATTCTTAGCATCAAATTTGCTTTACAGACTTCTGTGGTCAACTATTAGCAGGGTAGATGAAACGCTTAAAACGACCAAATAAAGGCGCTGCAGGTACTTAGATTCTTAAATCAGTATAAACTTGAGTAACCAAAACATATCACTTAAAACAAGATCTAAACTTTTATTTTTTCACAAAAATTCAAATTTATAATTTAGCTTTACTGCGCATTTAACTATAGTTGTGCATTTTCCAATCGCCTACAGCATTGTTTCTTGGCATTTTTGCTGCATCTTATCAGCCTTTCCTGCTATAACACTTTCAGTGGCGCTCAAAAACATTGTTCAGATTGTTTCGTGAACTTTTTAGCTTTAGACTGGTAAATTTTTTAGTATTTATCAGACGATAAAGTTCAGACTATAATCTGCTCGGTTCTGAATTCTCGTAGAGAAGTTTTTTAGTGTTTGATAAAAAGAGTGAAAAGATGCCTTTAAAAACTTTAGAGACAAGATTTTGTTGTATCCGGTCCTTCAC